GGGAGGAGGGAGAGACACAGGGAAAGGGGGGAGGAAGAGACACAGGGAAAGGGGGTGAAAGAGGCAGAGGGGGAAGAGAGAGACAAAGAGGGAGAAATGAGAGAGAGACACACAAGGGGAGGGGAAGAAAGAGGCAGAGGGGGAAGAGAGAGACTGGGAAGGAGAGGAGAGACATTGACACAGAGGAGCCTATTTATTTAAAATAAATCTGCACTTTTGTTTATTTTGAAGCCTATGAGTGCGCTTTTTATGTTGAAGTACTTTTTAATTTTAAGTTATCTGTTCTAACTCTGAATCTGCACACTATGCTGGCGCGATGCATTATGGGGCTGGTAAATATTTTTTTTCCAGGGCTGCTTTTAATTCCCAGTCCGGCCCTGAATGGGTATTATGTGATGGAAATTGTACCGCAGTGATCCTACGGGTAGCGGTTTTCTTAAGTGGTCTCACGCATAAGAGATTTAACCGCAGTGATCCTAATGGTAGCGGTGCGTGGAGTATACACTTTATACCTATGATAATTCTGCAGTGATCCTAATGGTAGCGGTGCGTGGAGTATACACTTTATACCTATGATAATTCTGCAGTGATCCTAATGGTAGCGGTCATTATGTGTGACTCATGCTTTTCCTTTCATGGATCTATAGCCGCAGTGATCCTTATGGTAGTGGTGCATGTAATAAACACACATTGAATATATATGTAATCCGCAGTGATCCTAATGGTAGCAGTATAATGGATAAACATTCCTGCAAAATATTTATATTATTTTTGGATATAAGTTACCTGCATCCTTTATCAGTTTTTTGCTATTAAAGGATTAATATGGGGAGACCTTCTTATGGGCTTTTTGCCTGTGTTCTTACTGTTCATTCGTCTGGAAGCTGCGTTCGGCAGTTTCCCGCCATTTCGCCATATTGGTCGGCGTTCTCCTTATAGGCTCTGTTCGCATTCGTCTGAATTTTTCATTCGTATGAATTTTCCTGTCTTCATATGTGTAGCGGATGGCATTGGGCTGTCCTGAAAATTACATGTATTATAATGTCTTTGGTTGAATTGTAGCTATGTATGCGAAAATGTATGCAGTATTCGTCTGATTGTTCGGTAGAATCACTCTAGAAATTATGAGAATGAAACTACCGAACAGTCAGACCTCCCAGTGTGAAGTGTGCCTCCAATTACCGGTTGCAACAATGTTGCGAACCGGTAATTGGCCATCTGTGCAGTGGGTCCTTTGTTCGCGGGGTGGCCACCATTCAGGAAACGAACACGTGGCGGCGGCCATTTTAAAACTCCGGAACAGCAGTGTTTTGCCGTCGAGTGTCTGGAACCCAAATCGGACACTCGGCTAGGCGAACACCGCTGAGACCTCCACACTAACCTTGTATTCATATCCAAACTACCGAAGGGCCCCCCGTTCGGTAGAAAGAAACACCCGAACAAGGGGATTCATGCGAACCCTCCCTAATCTCTATAACACCAGCATTTCGTGCAGTTAATTCCCTTATACTGTGACCGACCGCTGGGGCCCCATCTCATGGAACCAATTTCGGCTGTTCCCTCCAGCGCGGTCGGTCTTTTTATTACCTCCACAGATTTCCCCAACCCCTGGTCCGATCTGGGTGATTTTTGGATATGTGACATTTGAAGGGGTCCCCCTAGGTTTAGGGGTACATCCAGAAACTGGGGGAATTTGTGTACTGTATAAGGGGATTATGAGTCAGGCTAAGGGGAGGGGATGTGTGGGAGATTACTCAAGTATGATTGGACACTGTAGTAATTACTGTATGGGAGCATGCTTTATAAGGCCACTGTGTGAATAAAAGTTTAGTTCTGCTCCTGATGCTGTGTGTCGTCCAGTCATTGGGATTGCTGTTGGGATATTGCTGGATTATTTTGCCTGCTGGAAACCTTGCCTTATGGATTTATAATACTTGTTCCTGAACCTCACTGGGATCTTAAGCAGAGATAACTTGTGGAATACCAGGTCTCCATTACAATATGCATGGTTACTGTTCGGCAAACGAACTGTATGTTAGTTTTTTTGTGTATTGAAGGTTTTGCATTGCCTTAAAATTTCACCTGATTGGGCATGCACATTTAAGGTAGTTCAGTGTATTGCTCATTCGGGTGTTGCTATTTAAAGAGACAGAGTGTTCTTTTTCTCTCTCTTTGGATGTAAGCTGGAATTCCTTAAAGAATACTTTCTTTTGCGTTTATTCTGGTTAGTGCAGGTAAGAAGGATTCTTTCATCTTTAGAATTTAGGTTTACTCTTTTTAAAGAGTATTCTTCATTCTTTAATTTCTGTGTATTCCTTCTTATAGCTGCCCTAATATCAGCATGTAGGTCTTCAAGAGGGTCTCCTTCTAGGCACTCAAGGTAAAATTCTTCCTTTTTATTTATTGGATTAAAAGAATGCAATTAAATGGTATTTTCAATCCTCCTCTTTCCGTTTTGTTTTAGTGTCCATGAGTTTGACCCATCGGAAAGATCTGTTGGAGGAAAGAAGTGTCACAAGTCTGCCCATTGTATTGCATGTGATGCTAAGGCTTTGGAAGGAAAGAAGCTATGTGGTACCTGCTTGTCCGAAGCGGCTGGTTCTCCTAAGGATCCATCTCCAGATCCAGATGGCAGGAGATAAGTCCATGGAGCAGCAGAGAGCTAATAAGAGGCCAAGAACAACTTCTCATAGAGATAGAGAAGATTCGGATTCCGATGCCTCATTTGTGGAAGCTCAGTCAGAGGAAGGTAAAGAGATGTATTCTTCAGAAGAACATATGGATGTTAAGACCATCGAAAAATTAATTAGGCTGTCAGATATACACTAAAGCTTGAAGAACCTTATACCTCTAAGCAGGGGCGTACCTAGAGCATTTGGCACCCGGGGCGGATCCTGTGCTTGGCACCCCAAAAACCTGTAAAATTTTTTAAAGGTTCTCTTTTTTTTTTTTTTTTACAATTTGTAAAGACTCCTGTCCCAATACAAAACCCCCGCCCCCTTCTACAAAATCCCTGCAGCCCCACACACACATTTACAGGCAGTCACACACTCAGTTACAGACAGTCACACACTCAGTTACAGGCAGACAGTCACATAC